TAGCAGAATGCATCAAGAAACAAAATACAACCAAATGCTGTTTACAGGAAACCTATCTAACCCAGAAAGATACCCACAGACTGAAAGTCAAAGGATGGAAAACAATACTTCATGCAACCAAAATCCAAAAAAAAAAAAAGCAGGAGTAGCCATTCTGTTTGCAGACAATGTGAACGTTACACTAACAATAATCATAAAGGACAAAGAAGGTCACTACATACTCCTTAGGAGAAAACTCCAAGAGGAAGGGATAACTATACTAAATATATATGCACCAAACTCCAGAGCACCCAGTTATATAAAACAACTATTAACAGAAATGAAAACTCAAATTATCAGTAACACAATTATAACAGGAGACCTTAATACCCCATTGACACCAAGGAACAGATCAACCAGACAGCAAATGAGCAAAGAAATAACAGAAGTGAATCACACCTGTAAACAAATGGACTTGACAGACATATACAGAATGTTCCACCCAACAACATCAGAATACACATTCTTCTCAGCAGTACATGGGTCACTCTCTAAAATAGACCATATATTAGCTCACAGAATTTAAACAAATGCAAAAGAATTGAAATCATCCCTTGCATGTTCTCAGATCATAGTGCTTTGAAATTAGAAATTAATGATAAAATATACTGCAAAAATCCCAAAAACAAATGGAAATTGAATAAAACACTATTGAGTAATCAGTGGGTCACAGAGGAAATTAAAGAAGAAATAAAATAATATCTACAAGAAAATGAAAATAAAGATACAACTTACCAGAATCCGTGGGATGCAATGAAAGCCGTCCTCAGAGGAAAATTTATTGCACTGAGCTCCCACATCAGGAAAATTGAACGAATACAAATAAATAACCTGATGCTACACTTCAAACAGCTAGAAAAAGAAGAGCAAATCGAGCCCACAGCCAAAAGAAGAGAGGAAATTATAAAAATCAGAGCAGAAATCAACGCAATAGAGACTAAGAAAACAATCCAAAGAATCAACAAATCAAAGAGTTGTTTCTTTGAAAGAATAAATAAATTCGATAAGCCCCTAGCCAACCTTATTTTTAAAAAAGGAAGAAAAACCTCAAATCCATGCAATAAGAAATGAAAATGGTGAAATCACTACAGACTATACAGAAGATTAAAATTCAAATAAATTGATAAAAGTTGTTCATAAGGTAAATGATGAATTTTTAAAATAGTATATATTCTTAGGTCAAGCATGATAGCGCATGCCTCTAATCCCAGCCCTTGGGATGCTGAGGCAAGAGGACTGCTGCAAGTTTGATACCAGCCTGGACTACATGGTGAGTTCATAGTCAGCTTGAACTATAGAATGACACCCTGTCTCAAACACACAAACAAACAATGAATATATGTGATTGTATTTTTAAACCAAGTTAAAATTTTTAAATAAAGAAATATATTGATATCTTCAGTAGAAGATTAAAACAAGTAAAATAAAAGATAGCCCTTTTCAAGTAATTTAGTCTGACAAAAATAAAACAAAGAAAATACTAAAATGCATGAAGAAATGCAGCAAGATTTATGTGACACTAATAAACAATGGTTCACAAAATGGTATTCCAGGGAGAAAACAGGGTAAAATGCATTTAAAAGCTATTTAATGACTGCTTTAACCATTTTCCAAGTTTTGGAAAGGATATCTTATGGTTTGGATAACAACACTATGTCAACACATGTGCTAAAGGCCAAGTCTCCTGTCACCATTATGGGGAGATGCAATGTATATTCAGAAGACAGGCTGTGACAAACAGTCCTAAGTCATTTTTCTTGTTACACATGGTGTACTCTGTTTTTCCCTCTTCCTCTGATGCTTCCTGGCCCACAGCAAAGCAATGGAAGTTTGCATCTTCCATGCCTCCCACTATGATGTGGACCTGTGCTAACAGCCTACAGTCTTACAGTACCTAAACTCCAAGACCATGAGACAAAGTTAACCTTTTCCTAATATAAATTTTTTGTGTGCATTTTAGTATGGTGATGAAAAGCTGACTAGTACAGAAATGGATATCCATTTCCAGAAAGCTCACAAGTGCCAAAGCAGACCCAAGCAAAAATGACATTCTCTCAAGCATATTATATACAAGCTGTCAAAAATCAAAGAGAAAAATTCTAAAAAGAAGAAAAATCATTAAAGAATATAAAAAGGGATTCTCCATTAGATTAACAGATTATTTCTTAACAGAAACTTTTCAGGCTGGGGAGAAATTTGCATGAAAGTCAATGTCCTGAAAATTAAAAAAATAATAATAACTTTTTTGGGATTTTAGCTAAGTAGCATAAGTGCCTGCCTTGCAAGCGTGAAGTCATGAGTTTAATCCAAATAATAATACCATACCAAATAATAATAGCAAACAACAAAAATAATAATAATACCAAATAATAATAATAACTTCAAATCAAGAAAATCAAATTCTGTAAACTATCCTTCAAAAATGAAAAGAAAGAAAGAAAAACAATCTTTCCCAAGTTAGCAATACCAACAGAATTCTTATCAGTAGACTGGCCATCAAATAAATTTCAGAGAATATAACATCTGAAAGCAAAAAGATAGTAAAAACTACCATGAAAACATTGGGAAAAAATAAAGTTCATTGGCAAAATTAGGGAGCAAAGATAAAACATAAAATAGCTCTGCTAAAAAATGAATTTGGTAATTGCTTTTTGTTTTTCACTGAGTTTCCCAATATCTTCTTTATATAAATTTTTGGTGCATACATATCCTCTTCTTTGTAACAAAAGGTAATTTTAAATTCTATAATTATGAATTTAATGGTTAAATCCTGCTATATATTTGTTTTTGGACAGTATTCAGCTGCTTTCAAACAATTTTCAGTCATTAACTATTAAGATTTTCATATACTGAGAATGTATCTTTATATATCTCAAATGATTATAAGTTATATCAAGTAAAAATATGCTTACTGGTAGAAACAATTGCAGTTTAGGGGAATCTGTTAAGCTACTCATGACATTCTTCAGATAAATAAAAATGAAATAAATACCACAAGGATCCACAAAGACCCCTTACAGCAGTTCTGAAGAAAAGACGATGCTTGAGATGACACTATATCTGAGTTCATTATATGCTACAATGCGAGACTAACTGAAATGACAGGTTATTGTCATTAAATCTGACTGGCAGTTGAATGGAAACAAATAGGAACTTAGTATATACATAGCAAGTTGAGTATTTAGAAACTTAACAAAAATTTGTACTGAAGACAGAGTGATCTCTCCAATAAATCTTGGTGAAGTAGGCCAAAATGGAAGGCTTACACTCTGATTTGAAATCTAACAACATGTGTACACTGATCAAGACTATGTTGTGCCAGACTGTTCAAAGGTATACAGAGCAATAGATTTCAGAAACTGAAAAATACCATTATAATTTTGTTAATTGATTTTTCCTAAGGGTTCCAAAATGATCAATTAGAAAGCAGTAGCCATATAACAGGTTCCACTGGGAATATTGAATAATCACATGCAAAGTTCAGAAAATGGAACGTTATCTTCTAGTACATAAAAATATTAATTCTGGTTAGATAAAAAAACCTGAAGATAACAACTACTAAAATTAGGTGTGTTGACTCACAACTGCAATCCCTAGCTATTTAAGAGTCTGAGGCATAAGTATTGAATCCAAGGTCTCTAGGCAAGCCTTGATGCCAGTGTGAGACACTATCTCAAAAAATAAATAGATAAGGGGCTGGGGATTTAGCTCAGCGGCATAAGCGCCTGCCTTGCAAGCAGGCAGTCGTGAGTTCGATCCCTGGTACCAGTAAAAAGGAAAAAGACAAAAAAAAATAAAAATAAAAAATAAATAAATAGATAAGGTAAAAATGTGACAGATCAGTTGGTATCACACTGAATTTGTCATTCATTGCTTCTTTGTGTACCACAAACCACAAGCAATGACACTAAAACTGATAAAATGAACTCCATCCAAATTAAAATTTTTTTGGCATGACAAAAGAAAATGAAGAAAACTGAAAAGACATGCCACAAAATTTAATATATTGAAAATGATACAACTTAAAATAGACCTGCATACAATATACACAGAAACCTAACTACAAAATGTAAAGAAATAGAACCCGATCACCCAGTGGCCAAACAACCCAAACAGACACATTTGCATGTTAGATACAAAAAATGTCCAGAAGGCATATGAAAAAATGTTCAACATCATTAGGCATCCCACCATTACATGGAAGTCTAAGTAAAGACCACAACTACATATTGCTAGATCCGTATTAGCATGGCTAGAATTCAGGACAAGCAACAAAGTGATGCAACTAACACAGTTTGCAGGAGGAGGCATATGGTGCAATGTAAGTGGAAAACAGCACACCCACATTAGAAAAGAGTCTATCAATTCTTCTAAGGTTAGTGATGCAATTATCATTAGAGTCTAATCCACGTTTAGTCATTCACAAGGGAAATAAAAATGTGTCCATGAAGTTAATGAATATTCATATTAATATCCCTTGTAAAACCCAAAATATAGGGGAAAATGTCAATCCACTTAATAAAACATCGACAAGTGTGCCATATGCACATGATAAAGTAAGATTTGGCAATAACAAAGAACATAGTACTGATCCATGTTGTTACATGGATGAAAACTTAAAAGTTACATAAGCATGGAGGCTAAATCACATAGAACCAAATGTTGTACAATACCATTTATATGAAATACTCAAAATAAATAAACTTCTAGAGAGAGAAAGCAATTTAGTGGCTGCATAGGTCTGAGACACGTGAAGTGGTAAAAGGTATGAAGTTAATTTCTCAGAGTTTTACTTGCTCTAAATTTGATTATACTGAAGAGTTTACAATTTAGCAGTTTATGAATTACTGAAATAAGTCCTTAAGATTGATAAAATGTATACCTTATTATTCATATATCAACCATGTTTTACAAAAGTAGCTAATGAGTAATTTGTTGCAAAGACATGTTGAATCATTTACCTTATCACAATATTTTTTCATTCCCAAGTAGATATGTAGAAAAGTCACATGTCCCTTGCTTCTGTTTTTTTCTTTTCTTTTTAACTTCCCAGTGTGCTAGAAACTACAAAATCTCAGTCATAGCAAAAGTGCACTGCAGATGTAACACCATCAAACTCTAACTTAGAAAGGCACTTGCAATCACAAAAGACTCTATAGACATCTTCACATTGACATAGAGGTCTCCCAGTTTTGCTCTTTGCATTGACATACAAATACTGGCTGTTTTCTTTAATATTTATTTTGGAAACACAAGTTGTACTTTAACTGCATGATGACCTCTACTTGAGCAACAGCAAGACCAGTGAGCACAGTTTGAAAGAAAAGTTTATTTTCAACAAGATGTCAGTGAAACTGACTGTCTTTTTGTTGCTGCTTCAGCTGAATAGTTACTTTGATTCTGGGAGCTGTGGAAAGGTGCTCGTGTGGCCCATGGAATTCAGCCATTGGATCAATTTAAAGACAATATTGGATGTACTTGTTCAAAAGGGTCATGAGGTGACAGTTTTGAGACCTTCAACTTCCATTTCTTATCATGTGGAAAAGGAATCTGCTATTAAATTTGAAGATTATCCTGCATCGTTATCTGCAAGTGACTGGGAGTATATTTTTACAGAAGGACTCAGGAAAGTGATTTATGAACTACCAAAAGAATCAATTTGGACATATTTTTCAACACTGCAAGAAATTATGTGGGAAGAGACTGATTACCTGAAAACCCTCTGTGAAGATGTAGTTCGAAACAAAAATCTCATGTCAAAACTACAAGAATCCAGGTTTGATGTCATCCTGGCTGATGACTTCATTCCTTGTGGGGATCTGATTGCTGAGCTCCTGAATCTACCCTTCGTGTACACCCATCGCTTCTTTCCTGGCTACACATATGAAAAGTACGGTGGAGGACTCTCAGTTCCCCCTTCCTATGTGCCTGTGGGTCTGTCAGAGTTAAATGATCAAATGACATTCTTGGAGAGGGTAAAAAATATGATATATGTGCTTTATTTTGACTTTTGGTTTCAAACATTTAATGAGAAGAAATGGAATCAATTTTACAGTGAAGTATTAGGTAAGTGTTCTTTTCAGTATTTTGAATGCCTAACATTTCTCTACCTTTGGCGATATGTTTGAAAGAGTATAACAATAGAGAAATTCATTATTCATAATTTAGTGCTAAAAAATAAATAAGATAGTCTACAAATTCAATATATTCTGCCCCATCTGGCATTATTGTTTTAATTAGAAAGGTCTGGCAATCACTTATAGAGAGTAATTTAGGACCTCATTCATGAATAATGCAGAGCACTGAGGATTGCTTTAAGCATGCATATACATAGCATCTTATCACCCATATTATTTTATCTCTGAAATAGTCATTTAAAATTTATCATATGTCTTAATGAATAGATATATATAAACTGAGACATTTCATAAATTGTATCTATAGATTATGTTGAACAAATTATTTTGCCTAATGTAGATTAATTGCCTCATTTATAGATCAAAAAATTGTGTTACTTTATTTGACGCATTTCTCACACTATTGAGATATAGAGCCTCTAATCTAGATAGAGGATATATAGAAATTAAAAATAATTAAAAACAAACTGAATTCATGTTCTGTTACTACCCATCTGTGTAAAGGCATAACATTGAGGCATGGACATGCAAGAAATTAATGTAAAGTTTTGGTCAAATCTAATATTATCCACTGTTAATTCTCCTTATTTGGGAAAATTGATAATGAAGACACGTTTCTAATTTCTATATTGTAAAACTTTTCTACCTCTTAATTCACAATGTATTTATATAATAATTAAATATTCTTGTTATTAATATGAATCATAAAAAAGCAACTATGTACAGAGAATTTTGCCATACTGCAAATTCTCTCAGTTTACTGAACACCAGGGTTCAGAGTTCTACTTGTACATCATACAACTAAATGCTTGTTTGGGAACTAAGTGTTCCCAAAGAGGTGTTTCCATGAATATTATATGACTACAAGACAGATAAGTTAAAATATTTTTGATATTTTATTTATTATGTAACTTTATAGAGAGAATGCAAATGTATATGCACACTAGAGCATTTGTGAATGTGATCATGAATTACTAAGATAAATTGGATTCTTAGATTACTCACAAATATCTAGCACAATAACTTTAACACATCTCATCAAAATTAATGACTAATATATGATAGATGTATATTCATAGCTACATATTATAAATATACGTGATCCAGAGATGTATTAAAACATAAATTTTTATCATCAAAAATACAGACACTTTTAAACATTTTTGACTCCACTGTTAAAAGTTTTCAGAAAATGACCTGGCATATCCATGGTCACCTGGCAGTCATCTCAATTCTCACTTTGGGTAGCTTTAGTGTTCTTTTTCCTCTGCAGGAAGACCCACCACTTTAATTGAGACAATGGGGAAAGCAGATGTATGGCTCATTCGAACCTACTGGGACATAGAATTTCCTCGCCCATCCTTACCCAATTTTGATTTTATTGGAGGACTCCACTGCAAACCCGCCAAACCTCTGCCTAAGGTAAACACTGATTCTGTTTCCTGCACATTCAGCAGGAAGTATTCCCTGATTTTCATTCAAATTACCTGCCATACAGTAATAAAGTCATAGGAAATGGGGAAATGAGACTTGCAAACACACATTCTTACAAATTTTTCCCATCACAAGTAGGTCAATTTTATTTTTGTTAAAAATATCTGAAGATTTTGGCACTGACAGTTAAACAAAGGTATCACAGCATTAAACACATGAGAAAAATAATCATCATCAATACCAAATATATGGTAAGGGCTTAGCATATTCCACAGCAGAGTGCTGGATACACAGAGAAATAAACAGGCACAGTGTCTGCCCCAGAAAACTTCATTCTACTTTTGGAGACAGACTGAAAACAAGTTATAGGAATTGCATGAAAAATGTTTAATAATAAAAGCAGGTATTCCTGCACTGTGGAACACCTTAGCAAAGTCCCTTAAGGAACAACATAGCTGCCTGACAGAAAGAAGAAAGAGAAAATGCAGAGGATAGGTGTTGCATACTTAAAGATTGCCTATTAATACCTACCACTGGAATTCGAAATGTGCACCCCTTCACAATTAGGCAGGATTCTTTACGCACATGGAATAATATTCCTTATGAAGAAACACATTTGTCAAATATTACTTCATTAAAAAATGAGAGAAAATTTTATTGAACAAATGGCATTTAATGAATTGGCATCAATGTGAGACAAGATTCCATTCAAAGTTTAAAGGGTATACAGGTGCCTGAGCTACATTTTTGGGACTATACATGCTGACTCACAATTCAAAAAGAAAAGTTAAGATCAATAAAGGTCCATGATGTAATAATGTAAAGTTTTGGTCAAATCTAATATTATCCACTGTTAATTCTCCTTATTTGGGAAAATTGATAATGAAGACACGTTTCTAATTTCTATATTGTAAAACTTTTCTACCTCTTAATTCACAATGTATTTATATAATAACTAAATATTCTTGTTATTAATATGAATCATAAAAAAGCAACCATGCACAGAGAATTTTGTCATATTGCAAATTCTCTCAGTTTACTGAACACCAGGGTTCAGAGTTCTACTTCTACATCATACAACTAAATGCTTGTTTGGGAACTAAGTGTTCCCAAAGAACAAATGACATTTAATTTTGATTTTATTGGAGGACTCCACTGCAATCCTATATTGAAAGGATTCCTCTATTTATGTGAAAGGAAAATGGCAACATCAATGGAAGAGGCAAGATAGAAGATAAAAAGAAAGACAAAAGAATAAATAGAAGCAGAATCTTGGTACACCTGTATCTAAATGTCACACAATATTCCATAAATATGCACATTATGAAGAAATTAATTTTTAAAATGTAGAGGAAGAGGAAAGTAAATTTTCATATATTTCTATTTGATTCATGACAAATTCATGTGAAATTGTGTATAGAAAAATAACAATGGTATGCATAAGAAATACAGCAGTTACTCACAAAAGAAATATTGGATACAATTTAGATATATATTATTTTAAAGCAAACTACTATAATCATTGAACTAAGAAATATAAAATTAGACTGTCAGTGATATATAGACATAGACATAGATATAGATATAGATATATGCATATATATATATGTACTTGAAAACTGAGAGGCAAATGAATAATATAGGATTAACATTTTTATGGATAATGAAAATGTAATAGACTTGTAATAGAATAGTTTTAATAGAATAACAATTTCAAAATATATGTCATCTATGTGCATATATGTGTATTTGTGCTGGGGATTAATCCCAGAGTTTCACCTATTTTTATGAAGAGTTAAAATCCTAACCCAGATATATGCATCAAGTTTTATAAATAGAATAGATAAAAGAAATGAAGACATAGCCTTTTGCAAAAGTGTTGGCCAGGAATTGAACCCAAGGCTTTGAGCTTGCTAAGCATGTACTCCACCACTGAATTACAACTCCAACTCCAACAATATACAGACTTCAAGTTGGAGATTTCTTTGCATAGGGATTACCTCATTTATTCTTTTACATTTTTACTTTTGCCACATTTTTAATGAGTTTCATGTAGTGAATTTCATAAGAATATTTTCAAAAAGACAGTGATGAGTTCATGTCAATAATGGATCCTCAAAAAAAGAGCTTTACTAATTAGTAATAAAGGGAACAATTTTCCACATCACAGATGAAAAAAAGCATTTAATCAGACTACTAGTGAAATAAAACACTAAAATAAACAATGTATTCACTAATGTGTATATAGTGCTGCAGGTAAAAGATTCACAGTGAAACACTAGACCCTGGTGTGGGGTATAGGCAGACAGTATTCTGAATCAATCTCAATCCACCACTCAAAATTCTAGATTGCTATGGACAGTAGGAGTCAATAAGAGGAACATGAAGTGATTAGGAGAGCAAACACATATCTTAGTTTGGTAGAGTCTGGAGATGTTCATTTGTTTGTTTTTTGTCTGTGACGTGGACTCCGTATTTCAAGCTGGCCTTGAACGCATTATGTATGCCAGGTTGTCCTGAAAACTTGTGGAGTCATCCTGTGTCAGCCTCTACAATGCTAATGTTTTACGTGTAAAACACAACATCCTTGAAATTTGGTGATTATTTAATGGAGAAACAATAAATCAGAAACAGAAAGAAAAACAGTAATGAAGATATGGTTCTAAAATTTCACGTCTCTTTCATTTTGGTGGAACAGTTTGCCAAAAAAATACTTCAGAGAAAGGCTTGCAAAGAATACATCAGGTAGGGGGCTAGGGGTTTAGCTCACCGGCATAAGCACCTGCCTTGCAAGCAGGCGGTCGTGAGTTCGATCCCCGGTACCGATAAAAATGAAAAAGACAAAAAAAAAAAAAAAAAAAAAAAAAAAAAAAAAAAAAAAAAAAAAAGAATACATCAGGTAGTTGTGTCTTGTGGTACATACCTATAATCCAAGCATTCTGGGAGCCTGAGGCATGTGTATCACCAGTTCAAGCTCAGCCTAGAATTTATTAACATAATTCAAACTTGCCTCAAAATTTAAAAATCAATCAAATGAAAGATCTGAGGATGTAGCTCAGTATGAAGGCCCTTGATTAGACACTATATCTATCAATAGATCAATTTCCCAAGAATTCCAAGCAAACCTGTTTCTAAGGAGTAAAAAGAACATGCCTAAGCCATGGTGGACCTTTCTGACAGCGATGCTAGATTTTCCTGACAGAGAGCTGATTATAAATCTCTCATAGCCAGTTATGCACAACATATTCTACTGGGGCATGAACTTAACAGGATGATTTTAAGGCAGAAAAAAGGTGCAAAAGCATTTTCAAAATACATAGCTATGCATGCATTCTCCTAAAGAAATAATAGAATTTGAAAAATTATTTCACTGAAATTATAAACCTCAACATCAGACTTCCAAATTTCAGTGATTCTGAAGCTCCCAAAATTAAAACACGATTCCAAGGAAAAAATTTTGAAATTATGAAGCAATAAGTTAATCTATATTCATTTTTTTCATACTCACTTTATACTTATCAGACTGTGAGTGACTAATGACAAAAATATTGAAAACTTCCAAACCATCTGCCTGGAATAAACACAAATGATTTGACAGAATTACAAAAATTAATAATTAAAAGAGAAATAAGATATCACAGCATCCTCCTTCCAGTAATATATTTTGAATAACATGTCAAAATATTTATTTTAGGTACAATTTTTCTAAGACTGTCTACCTCAATACAGTTAAATGTCTAAAATTTCAAGACATTGGCCAATGAGTTTAAAGGCAATAATGCAGACTTGATTAAGGACTCTCTCCAACATTGTCAGGCCAGTATCATAAGGATTTGAATCAGGAAAGACACATTGGACTAATGATTTAATGAAAGGAAAGAAGAGATTTATAGCCAAATTTTTAATGTGGACTCAGCAGATCAAAAACTAGTAAGAGAAAACATTTTATATCAGACAAGCATCTGGCTAAAAACAGTGTAACAAGATTATTACTGGAGGCAAAATGAGGTGTTACAGACATATAAGGAATTGTTAGAAAGTCAAGAAAGTGATACAATATGCAGGGTGAACCAATGTATAAGTTACAGCTTGTGATTTGGCCCAACATAGCAGGATGCCAGCTAAAATTGGACAGGGTAGGGTCAAATAAAATCATGCACAGTGAAGATCTAGGGGAGAAGACAGACTAGTAGATGTCAATAAAAATTTGTTCAAGAGGCAAATCTTCATCATGCCTCCCTCTTAGTCAGTGAAAGCAGAGCTCTGCTTCCTTCCTCTGAACAATATAATGCTGTCGGCTCACTTCATCACTTTGTTTCTTCAAGGTCAGTTCTGCCTCTGCTTGGGATGTAAGAGCAGAGAATATTTGCTTCAAGATGTTAGTTAGCATCCAGTTATTTCGAATGGAAAATTTCCATGAAAGAAAAATCAAAGACAAATCATGAGAAGCCCATTGAATATGCTGAGAGAATGGCCAATTGAGATTTATACATTGGATACCAGCTTACTTGAAAGTTTGAGTGTCTTTGGTGGTGGCATAGACAGTCACAGTTATATCTCAGAGCATAGTATGGAAAAATCCATCCATCTTTGGATGGAGCTCCTTCTTAGAGATTCACAGTAAGTATTAGAAAAGTCAGGAATTATATTCCATAGACCTAGTTACAAGAATAAAATGTAATGTAGAAATTTTAGTTTGGAGCCTTAGAGCTGTGTATGGGAGAAAAATAGATTTTACTTGGTGAAAATTGGCATAGTGCAACCCACTCCAATTTGTAAATATTACCTAAAGAACTTATGCCATGGCATCCATTCTAACATAAATTACATCTACAAGCAACTCCATTTCTGATCAATGATAACCTAAGTAAGGTTAGTATGTATCTAATGATGAATCTGATTTCACTATACTGATCTGCTCAAAACAAGAATGGAGTAGGTCACATAATGTTCTTGCACTTTGCCTTGGGCCAATTTTGCAGTAGGAA